GAGAGAGAGAGAGATTTATGACCTATTATTACCTTGAAAGCATTCAACCTGAGGAATCGCCAATGCCTCCATAAAACCAAGTTCAAAAATATGAGATATTAGTGGTGCCATGCCATGGTAGCGTAATCCTCCTGAAAAAAAGCATTGAATTGAAATCTAAAATATCAAAAAAATGGAGATTAAGAGTAAACAAGGTGGAATCTAAACTGATGGACTTTACCAGCATGAATGGGGTCCGGAATAAAGCCGTGGCCAAGTGTATGCATTTTCATTAAAGGGGTCATCCCTGCCGTGTCCCCATAATCATAAGTGTAAATTCCTTGTGTGAGAGATGGACATGCAGCTGGTTCAACTGCTCTTATGATAGGGTTGATCTGTCCACCAAGCTTCTCACGAATGAATGGAAATGTAAGCCCTGCAAAGTTTGATCCACCTCCAGTGCAGCCTGTTATATAAGAGTTCACGCATTTTGAATAAACAAAATATTTATCGCTATAATGAATGAAACATACATGTATACATATTCAACACTAATAATGAGTGAAACGTGCATGTATACATAACCACATGCATATATCATTACACACGGTACAAATATATGTAGGAAAGTATGTCACGATGCTTGTAGCATAATACAGTATAATATAAGCAACATGAATAGTCGAGTTGTAAATGTTTGCTTGAGCTTGAACAAAGGAAAAGTTCTCATTTACTGTCCATTGCCAACAACAGATCAGTAATTTTACTTGTAATACAGTGAAAGTATGCTAGAAGTATCATAGCATGCCAGGCTATGATGCACGCATACATCTGTACACATATATTCAGAGAGAGACCAACATAAGTAAATGCTGACATTCATATAAGTAAATAAATATGTAACATGAAAGCAAAGAGTACATATGTTAACACCTATGATCACATCCGGTGTCTCGCCAATTGCTTCCATTTGCTTTATGCATTCCTCGCCTATGATAGTCTGGTGCAAGAGGACGTGATTAAGAACACTTCCTAAGCAATACTTTGTATCTTCATTTCTTGCAGCCACCTCCACTGCTTCTGATATTGCGATACCTAAGCTACCTGGACTTGTTGGGTCCATTCGAAGGATTTCTTGACCAGCCTTGGTCAATTCAGATGGAGATGGGTGAACTTTAGCACCCCAAGTCTGCATCATTAATTTGCGGTATGGTTTTTGATCATAGGAAGCACGTACTTGCCAAACCTGAAACAAATAACCATGAAGTATACAGAACTTTATGTGCTAATGGATTAGTACGAATTCCCGGGAAACGGGATAACTTTACATGTCACTTTCAGCCTCAGTATGTCATTTCATGCACTGTGTATTTACGTAATTTATTATGTTAAGGGGCGTTTTATCTTTTCACTTGTTTGGGCATTGTAATAAGAATTGGAGATTAATAGGTTATCCTAGATGTCGGGATACAAAACCTGTGATAGATTGGGGTTGGACTCGCCAGGTTCCTGAGCCCAAGCGAGAGGTACTAGTCAGCATAGACTGTGAAAGAAGAACACATGAGGGGCCATGACCCGATGAGACTTACCTGGCACCCTGCATGGTTCAGTGACTCAGGTGAGTCTGACCCTGAGTCACAGAGTTTCTATCAACTGCATAAGTAGTTAGATGTTGCGTGAAAAGTACGGAAACACATATAGAAAAAGTATTTATACATGACTTATTTAAAAGTCCAGTTTGAAACATTAATTGTATACATGTTTAATATAGAACATCAGAAGTTTGAATTCTCTGTTCGATTTAGAGGATTACAGTTGCCCTTCGGCAAATTGGATTGATGGTTGTACTAGAGAATCATAAGTGCCGATAAAATTAGTTTCTTTTTACGCCGATAAAATTAGTTTCTTTTTATATAAACTATTACACAAAAACCCTAATTCGCTATGCCAAAAAAGTTGACAATGGTTAACCAGAAACTTAGCAAGTACTTTTTTGGTTTGTAAGATGATATTCAGTACTGTAACAAAAAGACCACCACCTTTTGGGGAGAAATAAGGTCACACTTGTTCAATCTTACTGTCTTACATTGAGAATTATAAGAAGCATGACATTTCTCATCCAAGCATACCTCACAATTAAGATCAAACAAGCTGCTTGCAAAGGCCAGTGCACTGCCCCATTGGCCGGCACCAGTTTCTGTAACCACATTCTTGACACCTTCCTGTGCATTGTACCAGGCTTGTGGGACTGCTGTGTTTGGCTTGTGTGAACCAGCTGGGCTGACCCCTTCATACTTGTAGTAAATTCTTGCGGGAGTTTGAAGTTTCTTCTCCAATCTACGTGCTCTGTTTCATCCATTGATCAATGTTTTAGGCTCTTGTTGCTGACAAATATATCTCAGATAATATACCATAGTCCAATGGAGCAATAGTTCTTTGAATTCGTATGTATGTTACTAGCATCCAATCAAATGATGGACAATTGGATGATGATGGAGGGAAAGGGAGACCCACCTTGAAGTAACAGATAGAGAACAGGCGATGACACCAACGGTAGGTCACCCGCTCTTTCCATCAACATCCAATGGACTTTGGAAACCTTTGTTCATTGGGCGCATCACCCTCCAATGAAACATGGACATTGATGGAGAGAGAGTTGGATCGACAAGAATGGGAGTGACACAAATGGTGGATTCCATTCTCTTTTGCTATCATGACCCATGATTTCAACAGATGGTAATTACCCCACACTATTCTTTACAAATAATCATCTGAATTATAGCAAACTTTCCTATATATTTATCTGTAATTGTGAAGGAAAAGAACATAATTCAATAAGACCTGATCAGTGAGGTCTGACCCACACTATTCTTTACAAATAATCATCTGAATTATAGCAAACTACCCTATATATTTATCTGTAATTGTGAAGGAAGAGAACATAATTCACTAACACCTGATCAGTGGGGTCGGACGCCAAAGCCTGTAAACATCGAGTATTTCATCTGGTATATTGATGAATTTTTCTTGGCTAACTTCTTGCTCAATTAATGCATTAGGAAAGAGAGGGGAGAGATCTTCTGGGACAAGTGGCCTCAGGGTCTTTGGGTGCAAAGGTGGTGGAGGTTTCTTGGGGAGGTCTGCTACAATATTGTACCAGTTGTGGGGTACACTGATCGACCGTAGAGAAGTCTCATGACATTCTCTAGTGCTAATGCAACAGTGAACCGAGAGCTTATGATGTCTGCGCTTTGCGTATGGCCTGACGAAGACATGGAGTTGCCTGTTGTCTGAAGGGAAAAAAGGGAGAGAAAAACTCTAGGGTGAGAGTGAGAGAGAGAGAGAGAGAGAGAGAGAGAGAGAGAGAGAGAGAGAGAGAGAGGAGGAGGAGAGAGAGAGAAGAGGAGGAGGAGGAGGAGGATAGAAGCAGGAGAAGAAAAGTTTGCTCCAATGGAACTAGCAATGACTCAGTTTAAACTTCCAATAATCAACAGATGGAAATCATTCTTCATAATTCACCGGCCAATCGTGTTTTCTATCTTTTATGGTGCATCTTTCCTGATATAAGATATTTCAAACAAATTTTCTAATAGGAATGTCAAATGTACTTCTCTAGAATACAGACAATAATATATTGATATTAACCAGTCTTAGGCTAAGGTCTATTCGATAATGGAGACAGCGGTTGAGGTGTCTAGATGTCAAAAACAAAGTTGTCTAAGAGCATTTTCAAAACCATGAATATTTTTTTGAGAAAAATGCGTAATGCCTCAAATCTTAATGTTTGACATGCTGACGTGTTACTGGGGTGTGTAATACTAGAGACATTTATACCTTGAAAATGAACAAAGAATATCGCAAGTCAGAGCCCAATATCATGAGGGTAAAACCACCACCACGTTACAGCATGTAAAATGGCTGTTTTTGGATAAGATCTCGAAGAAGAACGGATCAAGTAAACTCCTGTTGGGTCTCCCAGGTCTCTGATAGCTAGGCTTAGATATGAGGGAAAGAAATTTAAGAACATAAAATGGTTTGTGATCACCAACATGGCAGAAAAGGCACCTTATATAAACTTAAAAGTTAAACCAATTTTAGATGTGAGAATTAGCTCATTGGAAATGAGACATAAATAGTGTGTGCCTTCGAAAAACAAGTGCATGTAAGAGGCCGATGTGGATGCTAGCACATATACTCATACTTGGTTGGTGATATTCCAGTTGCATTTCCAAAACCATCTAAATGGAAGAACAATTTCTAACATAATCCCTTATGCATGAGAGAACCATAGATGCTAGTCGAATATAGACATCTATTGGAGATGTTAAATGTTAAAGCTGCAGACTTTGTAAGATATGTTTCCTTTGAAGTGACTCTTTCATGTCTCTAGGACCTGGGTTAATAGGGAAATATCTTTAGGAGGTAGATGCTTTGAAAGCTTCATCCAACTCTTTGTTGTTCAGATATACAGAAGTTTGAGTACCTACAAGATCCACTTATTTGGTTACATTTTTCATTGCAGGAAATTACTATCTTCTTATCTCAGTCAGTAGCACTTTACTGAGACAATTTTAGTGCATCATATGTACTAAACACTATTCCCACAGAACATATGGAGATCGATTTCTCTGAGGTCTCTGGTGATATTTACACTAGTCCTCTTATAATCGGTGTATTCCCTAGTTTTCAATAGGTCTTGGACTGCTTAACTGAAATTTTTAGCAGAGCTCTTTTAAAGCACCGATGCTAATGGCTTGAAAGTAAGTTGGTTGCTCATAAAGATTCACTATTCAACTTGGGGAAGAGCATTAAGAGATAATAGATAATGGTTGCTTTATATTTCTTTATAATAATAGTTATTGGAATTTTTTATTGCTTTGTGCTTAAGGATAGTATCCTATACTTCCCTATCCAAACTCATGGGCATTATTTATTGACATTGTTTCAGATCTCTCTCTATGAGGGAGAAGGTTAATAACTTTATCCTAATTAACCACTGAATACCTACCCTAATATTTTGCTACATCGATGTCATCAAAATTACTTCTAATATTCCTTGCACATCCCCATTTTCTCTCTGATTGTTGAACTCCAAATTTTTTTTCTCTTAGCTCTGGTCTATTAAAACTTTAAACAGTGAGGAGCCACATCTCACTTCTCCATTCCTACTTAAAATGAGAACCACTGAAAACATGAACTTAACAATCTGCCCCAGGTTCCCCATTAAACACTCTTTTTGCATCTAAAGCTACACACAATTTCAACAGACAGACTTCGATGTTATAATCCATTTCTCAGACAATTATAATGTCCACTCCTTGGTTGCCGATCCAATCCCAGAAAAAATTCCGCTAGTCAAGAACTTGTGGCCCGTAATATTCCATCTACCTATCTGCCGGTCAAAATGTGATGGTCCTCATGTAAAGATCCAATATCATTCTTGAGCTATTGACTGGTCATCCCACTGCAATAGCCAGCCTTCCCCGTCAATGTTTTTGGTTCTACCATATTTAGTTCATGACTCTACAGTGTCTAGTTCCCTGTTTTCCCTTTTAGTGCCAATTTAGACTTGTGATTACAGTTTTTGATTTTGTAGGCTTCTTGAAAGCTCTAAAAGGGCAAAGGAAAGGCCCAAAAGGACATGGATGTAAGTAGTGAGAAGGCACATGGTGACTTATGGTCAGTTTGACGCTATGGCCCTTGATAGAACAGAGTGGTAGAACAAGATTAGTGCAGCCGACCCCAAATAGTTGGGATTAGGCTTGGATGATGATGATGGTAATTGCTAGGCTTCTTACAAACTTACTTTACTTTGCAGTCAACTACTCATTTGTGGGTTCGTCTTCCACATTCATCCACTATTAATGCTTTTAGGAAACCCGAATACATGATATTTAATTCCACCATTTTGAGTTCCTGCCGGCTTTGGGAAAAGAATCAGGTGTAGTTCAGATACATTCAAACGCGAGAAAAAAAAAGAAGTTATCACAGTTTAATCAGCTCATTTGGATTTTTCTTTTTTTCAAGTTTTCAATTTGATTAATGTAAACCAAAATAACCAACTAAATCAATGAAATGAATCACACAGAAAGGAAATCAGCCTAATCGATCCTGCAGCAAAAACCGATTCAAACCTATCCAACAATTTGTGTGAAATATGTGCTGTAAAGCCTGCAAAAATGCAACTGGGTTCACCATATATGTATAAAGCTTTCATGCTTCAAGCTACAACCATAAACTCCTCTTCAAGTATGTTTCGATTGAGTTTATTCGCACCCATCCAACCGTTTGGACTATTTATAGAACATGACATGACATCACATAGAGCCCATAAGATCATTTCCATAAATCCATTTTTGCAATTTGCATGGAAAGACTTCAGCTCATAAGATCATTTCCATAAATCCATTTTTGAAATTTGCATGGAAAGACTTCAGCTACCCATGTTCCAAAATTTCAAGCACAGATTGGATTTTAACCGCTCTTTGCTTATCCAGCCAAAAAAAGAATAGAAAATGCTAAGCATGGCGAGCTATCATTACAAAAATCAAAACAAAATGAAAAAGTGTGAGGAAGAAGAATGACAAAACAAAAATACATCTCTTAGAGTATGATGAGTTCATGGTACTAGGCCAATATGTAAGTGTACAGAGAGAGAGAGAGAGAGAGAGAGAGAGAGAGACTGCATGAAGTGATAAAAAAGGATAGATGCTTACCAATGAAAGAGTGGGTGTCTTGCGCTGAGGAAAGGGATGAATTTGGATATCTGAGCAGCAAATCCATGGAGCTGTTCAACTCAGACACAGGTGTTGAAAGTGTTAACAGGTTTCTCTATAGAGCTCTTTGGGTGTTCAGTGAAAAATGTATTGGTGGTCAAAGGCTCCAGACTTCTGATTACATAGGATACAGTACCATAACTAAGTGGTGACTGAAATATTGGTAATACTATTATTATATCTAGATGCTAAAAAAGAAAAGGAGGAGAAAATTTATAGATGCTAAAAAAAAAATGGAGAAAATTTATATAGAGCCGAGGCTCTAACAATCAAATTAAAGCCCACCGCAAAAAATTCACTAGAAAAGGTTGTTTTGATGCCCAAATATCTTCAAATTGATCATTTGGACATCGATGTGCTTGGACATGAGAAAAAAATGGATTTCAAGTTTTTAAAATAGTGCATCTTGTAACACATTTTTGGGCCGTTAATTTTCAAGATTTTCATAAATCTACTCGATCTACATTATTTTTGAAGCTTTAACTTTTATAATTAAAAATAAAAATATATTTTAAGACTATCACAAATATTTTCAGTATTGAAACCATATTTTTTAACATTAGTTGAAGGTGTGCCTTACTTTGATTGTTTAAGCCTCGGCTCTATAGCAATTGCATAAAAAAAAAAAAGAAAAAATTTATATGGAGCTGATTAGAGCACACCAAAAAAAATTTTAAAGTATAAGAGGTTTTTTTGATGCTCAAATATACTCAAATTGACAAGAAAAAAATAGATTTCAAGTTTTGAAAATAGTGTATCTAATATCGTATTTTTAGACCGTCAATTTTCAAGATTTTTAAATTTTTATAAATATGTTCGATCTATACTATTTTTTAAACTTTAAATTTTATAATAAAAAATAAAAATATATTTTAAAACTATTACAAAGATTTTCGACATGAAACCATATTTCTCAACACTATTTAAAACATTATTTGAAGGTGTGCTTTACGTTGATTAATTAGAACCTCGGCTCTATAAAAACGGAACCCTAAAAATAATGCACTTAATCCTTGTACCTTAGTCCCAAAATGTAACTAAAAAACAAGGCCAACTTGTCCAGCCGCCAAGCAAAAGAAAAGGCCACTATATTAGCGGTGGGCTTGTTGATTTAAAATCCAGGTTAGTGGGGTGTTGGATTCCTAGATAGGTGATCTAGATTAGGTCTGGATCGGTCGAAATCAATCTTTTAAAATCTGGCGATTTTTTATCCCAATGCATAATTAATTGGGGCCAAACTGGTTTTAGAATAGTTTGGGTCCCAAGCCATTTCCCCTATAAAACCCCCATTTCCATTTTTTTTTTTTTTTTGTTCTTAAGCTTATCTAGCGTTTTCTATTGTCTAGCTAAATACCTACCCTATAAACCTTTGTTTGAATTTTTATTTTATTTATCTTTTATTTTTTTGGGATCACCAGACGATTTGAGAACAATCCATATCGCTAATCCAACTTATCCAAACCTTATTCGTTTTTTTTAAACATAGGTCGGAATAGATGATTTAGAAAAATATTTAAAAAATTTAAAAAAATTAAATAGAGATATATGAGACATAAATTTAGAAGAGACAAATTTTTTTTATAAAAGTGGGGTTTAGGGTGAGTCGGGTCGAGATCCATATCATCCCAAAACTAGTTCTGTTCCAACCAAATTTTCCACCAGTCCAAGTTGTTTTTGTTTTTTCACTCAAGGAATGGGTGGTAATACTAATTATAAATCATTGAATGCTATATCTCGTGTTCTATTTTGCCACCCACGAATCTCTTTCAAAAGATCGTGTTAGATTTTACACTCGCAGACTTAAAATTTTACTAGCAGTTAATGGCATAAAGAAAAATGGACTTCGAATCTTAAAAATCAATCGCTTTAGATTTTTTTTTAATTAATATCTCTCTAATTTCTGAAATTACAAAATACCTATTTTTTTTTATATAATTGCCACATGTACTCATTTTTCACCCTTTTTTATTTACAAAATGAAAAATTGTTTCATGCGGGCTGGACCGCATTTCTACAATATTCGGTCCAAAGGTATAAATCATCCATTTTAAAGATGGATGCAAATAGCTGGTTCATCTAAGAACAATTATAATGAACGGTCTAAATGTTTTTTTAATATAATTATTTCTAATTTTTAAATTTTATTAATTTATTTATATTCATGATCTCCATGTTAAAGATCATATATTCTCAAAAAATTATGATCAAATTATATTTATTGCCAAATCTCATTTCTACATTATACAGGCCGCATGCTAACCATGTCCTTACAAAATAACTCATTTTTTAAAAAGAGTAATGATCATATGAGACCCTCCCATACCCATCTGTGTAGGACCCCAAAGGATCGTCATTAATTTAGGCATAGATCTCTAGAAAAATTATCACATGGGTGTGGGACTTGATTTTTTTAGAGATTTGTGCCAAATTTAATGGTGATCCTTTGAGGTCCTACACACATGGGTGTGAGAGGGTCTCACTAGGTCATTTCTTTTTTTTAAAATACCTATCAGTTTGATTTAAGTTTACCCTTCTTATTAGGAGTTCAAAATTGGTACGAGTGTCGTAGAAGCATGTGATTTTTTATCCGACTCATCAACCTAGATGAAAATCAATTGAGACCGAACCCGTATTAAGATTTGCATAAGTCATTTATGATTTTTTTAAGCTTATTTAATAATTTTTAAGTTCTTTCTAAATCCACATATCATAAACGTTAATTTTAATTTTATTTCACTTATTTTTAATATATTTCTTGATCACGCATTCAATCCGATCCAAACCTGATCCGAGTTACTCATCCAACAATCAAAAACTGATATGTGGGCAAGCGATCTACCCATCAATTTGGATTTTAGAACACTGGAAATAGAGTTTGTTATATACAACAGGTATCCTAATGCAAAACGAAATTCACTAAAAAGCTAGTTATCTTTTTTTTGAGAGAATACACTTTGGTGATCAAATTGTTAGGTAAGTTTTTTAATCTTAATTTTAGGTAAGTTTTTTATAAAAAAAAAGAAAAAAACAGAAAAGAAAAAAGAAGAAAAGAAGAAGAAGAAGAAAGACTACTGTTGTAAATTAACAAAAAAAAAAAAAAATGAAATTCACATTGGGTGCATCATTACTGGTTGAATGAGGGACTTAGGTTTCACGTGATGGGCCATGAACTCTAGTTAGGAATGAAAATTAGGTACGTGATTTGATTGTCAGGCTTTTGAATTTTGAAAAAGGTACCCTTAGACCCTTTTTCGAAAACATTAGATGAGGAAAGACAAGTTTCCTATTAGGACCCGTTTTCTCTGAGTCCACGTAGAGATGAGTCGCTCTAAAAAATCTATTTTTGCTATGGATATTTGGACCTAAGTTTTAAGGATAGGTAATGTCTAACATGAAGATCATGAATATGAAAAAATAAAAAAATTGTGAAAATTAAAAATAATGATTCTATTAGGAAAATATTTGGACGATTAGTTTCCAATTGTTTTTAGATAGACCACCTATTTGCATCCATCTTTAAGATGAATGCTTTATACCTCGTGGACCATGTATGAGCAATACAGTCCAGCCCGCATGAAACAATTTTCCCTTATATAATGCCATTGTAGCCCCCAAGCTATCAATGCCGACCATAGATGGCTAGATTTGTCAACTTTAAAATGTAGAGTTAGACGTGCACCCCAGCAATCGATGCCAACCAGAGACACTGGAAAAAGTTTTATAAGGTTGCGACCTTAAAATGTAGAATTAAAGGTGCACCTCAAAAATGTTGTTATGGATGTTGAAAACCCTCTACTCGATAATCTTAGCATCGAGATGTATGGATATGAAAAGAAAAAAGATTTCGAATCTACAAAATAGTGTACCTTGCAACACATTATCTGAACAATTCATTTTTAAGATTTTCATGTGTTTATAGATCTACTTGATTTGAACCATTTTTAGAGTTTAAAATTTTATAATTAAAAATAAAAATAGATTGTCAAGTCATCCTAAAAAATTTTTATATCAAAATTATATTTATGATAAATCTTAGAGGTGCCCCTTCATTGAATTGTTTAAAGTTGCAACCTTATGCATGCCACACCCTTGCTATAATGCCATTGCAGCACCCCTGCCATCGATGCCAACCACATACGGCTGGATTTTTCAAATAACAACGGTTGGGCACCTAACTTTGACACCAAAACAAATAATGGGTGAGATTATAAGATGTCCATCTTATACTATACAAGTGAAGCTCACCTTTAGATTTTAGTTCCGATGTCGGAAACCTTACAAAGCTTCAAAATCCATATTCAACCCCATTTATGAAATCTATTTTTTTTTTAAAAAAAGGAACAAATCGAGTACATCTATAAACGAGGGGCACGGTTTCTATGAGTCCATGTAGAAACGAGTCACCTCTTAAAACTCTATTTTTGAGATAGATTTTTGGACTTAATTTTTAAGGACATGTAAGCTCTCACATGGAGATCATGAATATAAAAAAATTAAATTAAATTTAAAAATAATAATTATATTAAGAAAACATTTGGACCGTTAGTTTCAATTGTTTCTTAGATGGACCAAATATACATACTTCTAAAATTCAAAATTTACTTAAAAGCCCAAATAAATTGAAGTTTATAATTTTGGTATTAGAAATTACTCTCACTTTGATAAACCATTTCATAAATTTAAAATAAAATAACATATTTCGTTTATAAAATTATACACTCTTGTTACAAATTTTACATTCATGTTGTTTCCCACTATTTCATTCAAAAGCTATTAACTTTATATAAAAGGTTATTATTTATTTATTACTATCTTATTTTAAAATATTTATTTTTGAAAACTATAAATTTCTTACAAAAAAAATAACAAAACATAAAATATTAAAGTTCTTTAATCAATGAGTTTAACTATAATTAAACTTTATAATTATAATTAGAAATTAGAAATTTTAATCATAAATATAAAATAAAATTTATAATTTTAAATACAAATAAAAATTTAATTGAGAAATTTCATAATTAATTTTTAAAGTTATATTTCAATATTAAATATTAAATATTAAATCATAAATAAAAATATTCTTCTTACATAAAAGGTGTACATGAGATTACTCACAATTTCATTTATTTACTTGAACACTTTGGTGATCGAATTGTTAGGTAAGTTTCTTAATATTAATTTTAGGTAAGTTTTTTTTATCTTAATTACCTATTTTATGACTTTATAAGTACAATATCAAGATTAAAAAAAATATGGAAATGTTATGAAATGCTATTAACGAATAAAACAAATTTCTTGAATTACAAGATTAAACTCATGATTTTTTTATACCATATCAAAATAAATTCTACACTTATGGTCTTTTTCTAAAATAGATTCGATACAATATAAGTGGGTAGCATGACACAGTGCCATAATGCAATGCATAATTCACTAGAAATTTTTTGTATATGATGACTTTTAATTAGAACAAACTCTTAAAAATTGACTAATAAATTTAATGGACTTAAAAAACAGAGAATTAATTACAGATAAACCGGCAGTATAGTCAAGATCATAATAAAAAAAATTATATTTTTTCTTCAACGCAATTAAAGCATTAAACCCCCTGTTAGTTTGTAATGTACATGCCCATTTCAAATATATAATGAAACAATATATTAATTTTAAATAAATTCTACATTCATGTTGACTTCTTTGAAATAATTTTGACACAAGTTAAGCACGTAATACAAAATAGTGCCAACATAAAAATGACACATTGCAATTAATTAAAAACAAACCTATAATATAATCTAGCAAGATCGTACTAAAGAACTTTTTGTTTATAATTTTTAAGCAATCAAATGAACATGTCCCTTTAAAACTCTATAATGAATCTCATAAGTTGAGTAGGTAGCACAACATAGTGGCACGGCAAAACTGACGCTTTGCATTGCTTGAAGCAGGGGTTTACGTAAGGTTAATACTTCTTTAAAATAATAACACAAGTTGTGCAAATAATGCAATATAGTGCCACCTTAAATATGACATGTTGTATTGTTCTAAACAGTAGTTTACTTACTATTAATATTAATAGAATGTTAACTTTAAATCTTAATCAATTATTTACTCTTTTATAAGTAACATATTAACTTATCACTCAAATTATAAAGTTACCAAGTTACATTTGTTCTGATTCGATATAAGTTACACAAGTTATTCTTGTAGTAGAAAATTTTCACTAGTACTTTTCCCTAGGTATGTATGGGAGACTTAAACACCTCACACAAATTGAGCTGGCAACACAGCAAACTAACACCATAAACATAACACTTTTAAAATGTAAAATTAAGGTATGCTTAAAACATCCATCATAAAAGACAATTTTGAAGTTGGAAAACCCTGTAGTTGATTATCTCCATATTGAGATGTATGAATATGAAAAAGAAAAAGTATTTTGAGTCCCAAAAATAGTGCTTCTTGCAACATATTATTTGGATCGCCAATTTTCAATATTTTCATATGTTCATAGAACTACTTCATTTGAACCATTTTTTGAGTTTAAAATTTTATAATTAGAGATGAAATTAGATTCTCAGGGCATCTTATAAATTTTTTATGCCAAAGTTACATCTTATGATAAAATTTGATGGTGCACCTTACTATGATGGTTTAAGGTTGCAACCTTATGCAAACCACATACTCATTAAAAACCTTCTACTTTATTATAAGAGAAATCAAGTCACGTCACATACGGAGCACGTGGATTCCGCTAGTACTCTCAAAAGTAGCCATTTGCCTTTTTTCATAGTCGACAATTTTAGTAATTTGATCCACCTAAGAGGCCCAATGAAATGACTTAGTACCCCTATTTGCTCAAGATGGGCCAAATTACTGAAATGTCTATACTTGTTTAGGGTTCCATCAACTGAACAAGTGCAATTTGGACAACTTTTTTTTGCTGATATTTCTTGAGGTATATGAATGAGATGAAAATTAAAACATAAATGACTTAAAGTTAATTGAGATCTTTTGATACCTTAATGACTAGGCAAGGGTTTCTTTCCACCCCTTAAATCATAAATACCTTCCCAAGTTGGAAAAATACGGCAAAAATAGCCAGAGAAACGGAGTGAAAAGGGAGAGACTAGATTTAAATATATTCCACAGGTACAAAGAAAATGTTGAAGATAGAAGTCAAATTGCTTGATCAAGTTATTAGTCATAAGCCTCATATTATTTTCCTATATATCCAAGATTCATTGTTATTGTCCTTTATATATATAGATGCACGTATTTGTGTAATCTTTTATCCAAATAGTGAAGATGTAGCTATTGTGCTTTGGATTTGTGGACGTAAGGCTTCGGCCAGAACCACGTAAATCTTGTGTTTTCTCTCTTCTTCTCTCTCCATAATCTTGTGTATGTCAGTGTTCATGCTCTCTCGAACTTTAACATGGTATCGAAGCAAAAGAAAACCTCTCCATAATCTTGTGTATGTCAGTGCTCATGCTCTCTCAAACTTTAACATGGTATCAAAGCAAAAGAAAACCTCTGGGCCTAATTGCCGTGCCGCGCAAAAGAAAACCAATTGTGCCGCATAAAAGAAAACCTCAGGCCCCAATTACCGTGCCACACAAAAAAAACATTCGGCCCCAAGTGCCGTGATGCGCGAAAGAAAACCTCGGGCTCTAGTGCCATACAAAAGAAAAGAAAACCTCTGTACAAGAAAACCTTCGGCTCTCGTGCCGCACAAAAGAAAATATCAGCTCGACAAAAAAACTTTCAAGTTCCAAATTTAGTTTGGCAAGTTGGGCAAATGAAAACCTTCGTGCAAGAAAACTTTCGGCCCCGGTACCACACAAAAAAAACATCCGCTCGAAAGAGCCGACAAAAAAAACCTTCCCGTTCCAATTTCAGTATTTCAGTTTGGCAAGTTGGGCATTTCACTTCACTCCCCCCAATCCCCCAACTTAAAGGGGAGTGTTGAAGATAGACCAAGTCAAATTTCTTGGTCAAGTGGCTTATTAGTGATATGCCTCATATCATTTTCCTATATCTCCAAGATTCATTGTGATTGTCTTCTATATATAGAGGCACGTATTTGTGTAATCTTTTATCCAAATAGTGAAGATGTAGCTATTCGACTTTAGATCCGTGGACGTAAGGCTTCGTTGGGCTTTGAATCCGTAGACGTAATGCTTCAACCTGAACCACGTTAATCTTGTGTTATCTCTCTTCTTCTCTCTCCATAATCTTGTGCTCATGCTCTCTCCAACTTTAACAGAAAAATGAATAGATGGATTTCTTCTTCTCACACAAAATCTTGACGTTTGATGGATCCATTTAAAATAGCAACTTATATATGGCAACTAAAGCAGTAAAATTGCAAAACAAAACACATATATAAAAAAAAAGGACAGTCAATGGGGATTTGGGCCCTTACTCTTTGGTGAGAATAAAATTCAAGAATTCATCATGGAGCTCGACCATACTACCGCTAAGGTCCCAACCCATTCTCAAAAAAAAAAAGTAAAAAAAAAGTGCAAATAAACATTGTGTATGTTTAAGGGCAAGAGTGGATGAGACATATGCAGGCCCATGCGAGGGACAGAAGCAAACCAAAGGGGGCCTTAGAAGGGGCCTTGCTCGCATCCGAAGAGCCCTTCATACCTTCTGAAAATGTTCAAAGAAAAACCAACTAGTTTAGGCTCAAGTGAACTAATATATATATATATATATATATAGGAAAAAGTTTATATAAGGTTCCAATCTTAAAATGTAGAAATACGGATGCAGCTCAAAAGTTTATATAAAGTTGCAATCTTAAAATGTAGAAATACGGGTGCACCTAAAAAATCCATCAGAGAAGGTTGTTTTAATGTTGAGAAAACCCTTTAGTTGATCATCTCGACATAGAGATGTATCGATATGACCAAAAAAAAGGTTTTGAGTCCCAAAAATAGTTCACCTTGCAATACCTTATCTAGACTGTCAATTTTTAAGATTTTCATATGTTTATAGATCTACTTGATTTTAACCTTTTTTGGATTTCAAAATTTTATAATTAGACATGAAAATAGATTTTCAGATAATCCTAATAATTTCTTACACCAAAAGTACATGTTATGACAAAATTTGGAGGTGCACCTTAATTGGATTGTTTAAGATTGCAACCTTATAGAAACCACACCCATATATATA